AATCCAGCCTCTGCTGGATATGTATAGCTGTGGATCCTGGAGAATTGGCGACTTGTTGGGGGTAGCCCAGGTAAGCTGTCTTGACACGTGACGCAACTGTAAAGATCATAGCGACGGGAGTGTAAACGTCGGGCGCCGAAGTTCTCAGGGTCCGCGGATGGACGTCAGAGGCAGCCCCGACCCGAGTGAGTGTGGAGTGGAGCACTCGCTGTAAGGGAACCTACGGGCGGGTGGGGTCCGTCCTTAGCCGCATGATGCGTGCAAATGGAATGGCTTTGACCTGATTTTCTCCAGTGCCGCCCCCCAACAGTCGGCCATATCGGACGGACCAGGTGGAAGCTGCTTTGCGTGCAGTGTCAGTCAGTCAGTCACCAGTCAGGCCAGCTCGCCGGCTCCGTACCTACCTACCTCCTAGCTCTACCGCCGCCACTACACTACATCCAAGGTACACTACATGATCGCAGGGGCAGTACATCATCCGTTACGTGCCTGCCTACCTACCCTACCGCCACCTTCGACTACCTGCAGTCGCAACCTTCAACGTCCCGTCCCATTGCAAGCTCACCACACCACCAAGCTCCCGCGACTTCCTGGGCGCTCACCAACCCAATTTACGTCGCCAAAAGTGCATGGCAGCTACAGTAGGAGACGACCAGCTGCACATCCATCTTTTACTTGTAGTGCTGGATCCCTGTTTTCTTCGATTGGGCTGTGCCCGCACTAACCTCCAGCTTCAGTTGGAATCCCATCCGCGCATCGCGCAACACCACCACCCTTGACCTACCCCTCCTCCGAGCCGAAGAGCACACCTCCAGCTCTTCTCCCATATCTAACCGTCTCTCCAGCCATGGCGGTCAGATTCCGTCAATCGTCCCAGCAGCTTGCGCTTTGCGCCAGGCAGGCCCTCCGGACTACCACCCGGCCCGCATACCGTGCGTCCCGCCTCCCCCGGGCCTCCCTCTCGTCCGCTCGCCAGCTACCTGCCTCCCGGCTCTACTCGACACAATCGACCGAGAAGCCCGAATCCAAGAAAGATGACGACAACAAGTCGCCCAAGCCCGAGGAGGACGAGGAAGACTTCGAGCCCAAACGCCCCCTGCCCCCAGGATGGGTGCGCATGGAGAAGCAGGATCTCAAGGATTTCGATGCCTTCATCAAAAAGGCCGCACTGAAGACGGGAATCAAGATTGAGGGCCAGGATGTTATCCTCCAAGGCATCAAGCACTACGGCTGCCCAAAGGAGACGCGAGAGCTTCTGAAAAAGTGGATCAGTGGCAACATCACCATCTTTGAGCAGCTCAGGTGCATGAAGTCTCTGGTTATGCTGGCCAAGGATCTCGGTGAATATGAGGTTGAATACATGAAGAAGAACCCAAACGCAAAGTCTATCGCCAGTGGCTTCAATGACAACACTTTCACTTCGAACATGTCAGATTCGGACAGGAAAGCGCAGACGTCGGAGGAGCAGAATAAGCAAAGCGAAGGCAAGGAAGCCGGCCAACAGCAGCCCGACGGCCAACAAGGGAAGCAACGTGGCGAGCAGCAAGGCCAGCAAGGGCCCAAGAGGCCTGGTGCTCAGGGCCAAGGTGGTCAAGAGCCTCCCCAGGGCTTTGACGGCGGCCTCATGAACTATGTTATTGGTACCGCTGTTCTGTTCTGGACCTACAAGGTGCTGTTCCCCGGCAACGACTCTCGCGAGATCACCTGGCAGGAACTGCGCAAGAACTTTTTGGAAAAGGGCCTGGTCGAGAAGCTCACGGTCGTTAAGGATCGTGTTATTGTGGATCTCAACAAGGAGGCTGTCAGGCAAATGTATCCCGACTCGCCCGCCGCTGCTCCCGGCTTCCACTACTACTTCACCATTGGCTCTATCGATGCTTTCGAGAGGAGGTTAGACGAGGCCCAGGCTGAGCTTGGGATTCCGCCAGCCGAGAGGATACCTGTCAGCTATGCCAACGAATTCAGCTGGGGCAACATCATCCTTGCCTTTGGCCCTACCCTGGTGCTTGTTGGTCTGCTTGCCTACATCTCCAGGAGAGGTCCTGGCGGCGCTGGCGGCCCCGGTGGCATGTTCGGCATCGGCAAGAGCAAGGCCAAGATGTTCAACCACGATACTGCGGTCAAGGTCAAGTTCTCTGATGTCGCGGGTATGGATGAGGCCAAGGTCGAGATTATGGAGTTTGTCCAGTTCCTCAAGGAGCCCGAGCGCTTCCAGAAGCTCGGTGCCAAGATCCCTCGTGGTGCTATCCTGTCTGGTCCTCCCGGTACCGGTAAGACTCTGCTTGCCAAGGCGACTGCCGGTGAATCGCAGGTTCCCTTCTTCAGTGTCAGCGGTTCCGAATTCGTGGAGATGTTTGTCGGTGTCGGTGCGTCCCGGGTCCGTGATCTCTTTGCCACGGCGCGGAAGAACGCTCCCTGCATCATCTTCATCGATGAAATCGATGCCATTGGTCGGTCTCGTTCCGACGGCGGCTTCAGGGGTGGAGGAAACGACGAGCGCGAGGCTACCCTCAACCAGATTCTTACAGAGATGGATGGATTTAATACAACTGAGCAGGTAGTCGTCCTTGCCGGCACCAACCGACCCGACATCCTGGACAAGGCTCTTATGCGTCCCGGTCGCTTCGATAGACACATCAACATTGATAGGCCTACGATGAAGGGTCGTCAGGACATCTTCAAGGTCCATCTGGCCAAAATTGTGACCAAGGAGGATATCGAGTTCCTCACTGGCCGTCTCGCTGCCTTGACTCCTGGCTTCGCTGGTGCTGACATCGCCAACGTCGTCAACGAGGCTGCTCTTGTCGGTAAGTTTTATGACCTTGACTGTCGTATCCCCGCTTGATATGATGTGCTAATAACGTGCATAGCTGCCAGAGCGAATGCGGAGACGGTCGAGATGATCCACTTCGAGCAGGCTATCGAGCGTGTCATTGGCGGTCTGGAGCGCAAGTCCCTGGTTCTCAGCCCCGAGGAGAAGAGGACAGTTGCCTACCACGAGGCCGGCCATGCCATTTGCGGCTGGTTCTTCCAGTGGGCCGATCCTCTTCTCAAGGTCTCCATCATTCCCCGTGGCCAGGGCGCACTCGGCTACGCTCAGTACCTGCCATCTGGTGACGCCTACCTCATGAACACCAAGCAGCTGATGGACCGCATGGCCATGACTCTTGGTGGCCGCGTGTCCGAGGAGCTTCACTTCCCCGTCGTGACAACGGGTGCCAGCGACGACTTCAAGAAGGTCACTCGCATGGCGCGCGCTATGGTGACGGAGTGGGGCATGTCCGAAAAGGTGGGCATGCTGCACTTTGACGACAGCGCGGAGCGGTTCCAGAAACCGTTTGCCGAGTCGACGGCGCAGGCCATCGATAGCGAGGTGAGACGCATCGTCGACGAGGCCTACAAGCAGTGCAAGGACCTCTTGACGGCCAAGAAGAAGGAGGTTGGCATGGTGGCCGAGGAGCTCCTCAAGAAGGAGGTCCTGTCGCGTGACGACCTCGTCCGCCTCCTCGGCCCCCGCCAGTGGCCCGACAAGGAGGAGTTCTCCAAGTACTTCCACGGCGAGCGCAAGAGCGCCCCACCACCATTCCCTACCGAGAACACCGATACTCCCGAGGAGCGGGGGCCGCAGCCGGCTATGAGGGAAGAGAAAGCTGACGCTACGGGCAACAAGGAGGGTGAGAGCAAGGAGCAAAGGTGATGGGAATGAGGGGATGAAGTAACAGAATGGCGGTGGTAGATGAGACGTGCGAGGGGTGTAAAGAAGGAGAAGGAGTAGGGAAGTTGTTGTTGTTGTTTTAGCCATTATCCCCCAACTCAATGTTGTTGATGTTGATTTGTTCTGTACCACCAAATGTTATGTTTACCAAGGAGAATGGGGGGGCGTTTCTTGCACGCATTTTTTTATTTATTTGTTGTTCAAGAAGAGGATGAGAAAAGATTAAGGATGAAAGAGTGAAAGAGAAAGAGGTCATGATCCCCGACGTGTATGTGATGACACTTTATACCTGGCTCATTAGGTCTGTAACTGTACTACTCTACTCTTGCACTAATATCGAATCGAGGCTGGGACTTGGGAGGACGAAAAGAAAGAAAGCGGAGGAATGTACATGTTACCTTTTCACATTTACACGAGAGTTGGTTGACAAGCAAGCGCACCAGTACATACTATAGCGAGCCTCGTTGTATCATTATTGAAATAGACGGGAGGAATAGGTAGGGACTGAGGCGGGCATTGTTTGGAGTGAGTGGCTATTATGGGCCTTGTACATAATTGCATACAGAATGGATCTCGAGAATTTTCGTTCCAACCTTTTCTGCAAGAAAAAGAAAAAGTTCTAACAAGTATAATATATCTGACAATTTAATGGTAAGCAACTGCCGGCTGTCCTGAATCTAGTGTACTGTAGGGGAGATTGGTAGCAGCACATCAGCGGGCGTCGTCACCGATTGGCTGGAGGGACCCACTGTTTTCTCGCCGCCAAAGGAAGGACCCGGGGGGGGGGTCGGGGAAGAGATGAAAGCCAAGAATTGACCGTCAACTGAATTGCGAAAACCTGGACTGTGAAGAAAAGTAAGTGAGTACCTAGGAACGGGATGGGGGTTTCAATTATTGCATTGATCTCTTGTTCCCGCCGTTCTTTTTCCCTAGAGGTGTTCTTGCCTTCAAGAATCCAAGTTGAATGGTGACTACATCACAAAAGCTTTGTCTTGAACACTGCACACTCATGCACGCAGCGCGATCATCCATCACGGCGACGGCGACGATTCAAATAACAGACGAGTCTTGCTTGGACTATCAAGATCTTGCCGAGGACCAGGTACCACGACAAGTATAAAGGTTCTACTTCGCTGGGCCGCAGCCCAGGAAGACCACGGAGCGGCGACGGCGCAGAAGATCCTTCTGACGCGTAGCTTTCACCAGCCACTCAGTTCCGCAAGTTGAGCGACCGCTGAGATATAAGCCTCTTTGGAAAAAAAAGTTTGACGATCACGGAAATCCAATGGCATCCACAACACACCGGGACCCCGGGACCGGAGCCGGAGCCGGAGCCGGAGCCGGAGGACTCCACATCAACCACACCACTACCGGAGCCGACCGCGAAGCCGAAAACCGCCACCACAGAACCCCCCGTACCGCAAAATGGTACAAAATCCATCTCTTCCGGGGCATGGTCAACGATCTCCGTCGTCGCGCCCCTTACTATCTCTCCGACTGGACCGACGCCTGGAACTACCGCGTGGTTCCCGCCACGGTATACATGTACTTTGCCAACATTCTCCCCGCCCTCGCTTTCTCGCTGGACATGTTCACCAAGACGGACCGGATGTACGGAGTCAATGAGGTGTTGCTTGCCAGTGTTTTGGGCGCCGTGGTATTCAGTGTCTTGGCTTGTCAACCGCTCGTCATAGTAGGTGTCACGGGGCCGATTACGGTTTTCAACTACACCGTTTACGACATCATGGAGCCGACGGGGACCAACTACATGGCCTTTATGTGCTGGATCGGTCTCTGGTCCTTGGTATTTCACTGGATTTTGGCTGTCACCAACTCGTGCAACTGGCTGCGCTACGTCACGAGGTTTCCGTGCGATATTTTTGGATTTTATGTGGCGTTTATCTACCTGCAAAAGGGGGTTCAGGTGCTGCAGCGGCTAGGAGACGCAGCGCCGTTTTATCTATCGGTTGTTGTGGCGCTTTGCGTCTTTGCTATCGCGTACATCTGTGGTGAACTGGGCGGTAGCAGTCTGTTCAATCATACCGTTCGCGTCTTTTTGAAGGACTATGGGACGCCGTTGACAGTGGTGTTCTTCACGGGGTTTGTCCACTTTGGAAAGCTGGAGCATATCCATTTGGAGCACTTGGAGGTTAGCAAGGCGTTCTTCCCGACGCCGCATGAAGATGGCTGGATCAGAGGGTGGTTTATTCACTTTTGGGATATCCCCGTGGGACATGTTTTCTTGGCTATCCCGTTTGCTTTGCTGTTGACTATTCTCTTTTGGTTTGATCATAATGGTGGGTAGATGTCTTTCTCCCCTCAACCACTTAATAATCTATGCTAACACCACAAACTAACACAGTCTCCTCCCTCATTGCCCAAGGCACTGAATTCCCCCTCCGCAAGCCCGCCGGCTTCCACTGGGATCTCTTTCTCCTCGGCCTGACCACCGGCGTCTCCGGCCTACTCGGCATCCCCTTTCCCAACGGCCTCATTCCGCAAGCACCCTTCCACACTGCCTCTTTGTGCGTCACCAAAGTCGTCACAAACGATGACACGGACGTCGACTCCACTGAATCCAAGGGCCATCCTTCGGAGTCATATCAATTTAAACCCATCTCCGTAGTCGAACAACGCGTCTCCAACCTTGCCCAAGGTCTGCTCACCTTGGGAACCATGACTGGTCCCCTCCTCGTCGTTTTACATCTAATCCCGCAAGGCGTGCTAGCAGGCCTCTTCTTTATCATGGGCTACCAAGCCTTGGCGGGGAACGGAATCACCCAGAAGCTTATCTTCCTCTGCAAAGACAGTCGGCTGACCAACCCCAACCATCCGCTTAACAATAAAGCCCTGCGAAGAAGCCGGGTTTGGCTGTTTGTGATTATCGAGCTCATAGCGTTTGGAGCGACGTTTGCTATCACCCAGACTGTTGCCGCGGTGGGGTTCCCAGTGTTTATCTTTGCGCTGATTCCGGTTAGGGCGGTGTTGTTGCCGAGGTGGTTGAGTAAGGAGGAGTTGGCGGTCTTGGATGGGCCGACGGCTAGTCCGTTTACTATGGAGAGTGTCGGGGGCAGTTATGGTGGTGTTGAGGAGGAGGAGGAGGAGAGGACGGAGGAAGGGGACATGGGTGAGGAGAGTAGTGGGGGTGGTGAGGGCGGTGGTGTTCTCTCTTCGGGGGCGGAGGGGAAAGGAAAAAGTCTAAGAAGGTGGCCGGTGAGGTGAGCGCTGAGGAGACGGCGGAGTTGGGATTGTCAGTTAAAAATGGTAAGGGCTCGTTGCCCAGGGGTAGCACGACGGTCGATGACATTCAGCAGCGGCAGAGTCAGGGGCAGGTGCATAGGAGAGGGCATCATCAGGCCAGGAGGCAGTGGAATAGCAGAGAGATGATTAGATGGAAAGTATTTGGGTAATAGGTAATCGGATTCTCCTTGAAAGATATGGAGGTGTAAAAGGCGGTGATTCCAGGAAAGAAGAGACATGAAGAAAGGTGATCAATAGAGATCGCCGTGTACATATACGTTGGACCGCATGTATATATATCTAAATAGTAATGACTAGTCAAACTCATCACATAAAACAACTCTTCTTTGGGTACGGTATTTGTCAAGTTTTCTTTTCTTCACGATGCTAGGCATGGTAGCTTCGAACCACTCGTCTATATGTCCACTTGCTTTGCGTTTTCAAAGGCCGCGATGCCTCCGGACAAAATTCCAGGCTTTGACGACGCGAACAGAGCTAGTCAAGCAACTGGAATCGGCATGCTTGCCTTCTTGTAGCTGATGGTGGCACGTGTGCTCACACTTGATCCACTTCATTCATCCCGATATTGAAGGCAGATGGGAGCTTGTCGCCTCAGCTTCAGTAGCTCGTTGATTTTGCGTATCCGTTGTAGTTTCCGAGAAAAAAGAGAAAAAAAAAAAAAACGTGTTCCACACATCCCTCACCCGAGTGTCCACGGACACCCTGCCGAAGGGCTCACCAATACTATGTGCTTCAACGGCCGGCTATTGTTTTCCCTTCCGTACTTTCTGAGGGAAAGCAACTTGAGTGAAAAGGCAAGGTGTCTTTGAACAAACCTCCAATCAAGGCTTTCTTTTTTCTTCTTCTTCTTCTTCTTCTTCTTCTTCTTCTTCTTCTATCTCTTTTTTGTTTTTCCTTTCCCTGTCTCCTTGCTCTCGCAGCGTTCTTGCTTCATACCCCTTGGCTCTTTCCACGTCCCCCCCAACTTGGCTGTTTTCTTCAGTTGTTCCTTCCTCTTTCTCTCCTTTGCGCATATGACCTTGGTTAACTCTTGCCCTCTGCTCCCCATCTTACAGAGCTATGGATAGTAACCCATTCTTTCCGTATGGGGAATTCATAGTGTCGTTGGAGGACTGTCAATCGGGTGGGTGGTCGTGCCGAGATGGCGGATGCACTCTGGTGTGATTCAGTCATCTTGTGTAATTCGTGACAGTTTGTTTAGAGTCCCTCTTCTCTTCTCGCCCTACAAAGAATGAATTCTCGGAGGGCTTCCTCAAGAGCGAGATCATGAAACATCGAGGATGGAGTGGGTGCTTTGTACCCATACCTTGCTCTGGATTCATCAAAACGCACAAGAAGTCTCATGTCATCGAACAATATAAACACAATCTTAGCTGACATTATTACTATCAACTCAATCATGCAACTCCCAAAATGATAGCGCTCTCGAAAACCATTGGCAAGCTACTTACTTTCAGTCTAATTCCATTTATGATTGTGCTTCTTGTTCATCACGAGTCTGGTGTACAGACGGCTTGACATGGCGAGATCGCTAACGAAGGGACTCCAGCGGTGTGTGGGAGTCGCGGCTCGTGTAGAAAGTAAAGAACGAAGGCCAACCACTGGATCGCGACAGGATTGGCTTTGTGTTTGTTAATCCATTCTGATGCTCCCAGAGCCACGGGATCTGACCGAAAGGCCAGTTCAAGAGGGAACCAAAAAAATTTTGCGCAAAGGATGCCATTTTCCAGTCGGAGAGGTCGGGTATCGGATACACTATATCTAGATAGAAGGGTTATTATTAGCCTGTGGATATGGGCTCATAACTCTCCCTAGCTTAAGCGTTGCTAAAGAAGCAAGCACCCGTGTCGTACTCCTCTGAAATTGGCATTCAACTGTCCTGGTACAAAAGTTCGTTAGCTATCTCAAAAACCCACGTTACTTGCGTCGGATGAGTGTTGGTTGTCAGGGACTTTCTATAAACTCGAGCATGAAGGCACCTACCTACCCCTTCTCCCTCCGTATCAGTCCCCTTCATGGCTGCCCATGGTCGCGAGATCCATACTTCGTCCAGGTACCGTCGGCTTCTGCTTGCCGGACGCCGCTCTCGACTTACCTGGGCAGCCGTATGGAGTGACTTACTGTGATTAGTGTAACCTCTACTCAACAGCATCGGTACCAACGACAACGAATACCACGGCCCTAGCGAGAAGCAATACACTTGCTCTCTAGCGTCGTCTTCTTGTGGATTTACTGGTCAGCCAGCCGCTTCATGCACATTCGGACGTTTTCAGAACTAACGGCCCGGCTGATCACGAAGAGTGACCGACACTCGGGCGATCAACATAGAATAGGCCATTGCTTGGTTGTGTTGAACTACGGAGAAGCCGGGTTGTGGCGTTAGAGACAAACTGTTGCTTATCGCTATGGAATCACCGGAAGCCGGGATGTTGGTCCCTGTCCCGTGCCTTTCCAAACGCCGCAGCGGCTGGTAGAGAGAGAGAGAGAGAGAGAGAGAGAGAGAGCGGTTGGTTGGCGCTCAAAATCAGATCTGGTTGACTGCCCTTGCTTTGGAGCATTTAGAGGACATCTCCATCCACTACACATTGAAGCCCCCAACGCAATTATAAACACCAGGCGTTGACATGTCTAGACATTTCAGACCTCTCTCGTCCAGCAATATTATCCCGACTAGTGGTAACGACTGTGGACGCCCACACCATGGAGCCTGGACCGAATCCGTGGCCCATCCGTACATGTTGGTCAGGGCCAGAACTTGGAGGTCACGCCAAATGCCCTGCAGCGTCAGGCATCCAGCCCTGGCGTCTGCTGATTCCAACGGCTTAGAAGGTGAACATGATCAAATTCTTGGGTTCCTCCAACATGAGAGATAGGTTAATCTGTCAACGGTGTAGCAGATGTCCAAAGAGCTCTGGATTCGCCTCTGTGACAGCCCGTTACGCTCAGCCAGGCACGGTAATTTAGCCGGAAGGTAGAGTACATTGATCAGACCCATATGTGCACTCCTTTTGGTCATGCGATGGTCACAGAAACGCTGGATGTGGGCTTTGGTAATGGCCGACATGGGTAGGTTGAAAGTGTCAGATACGAGATGAGAGAGAGCGAGAGAGGTCGACATCATCTTGTTCTTGTATGATGGTCCCGCCAATCTGGGCAACTCGGATGGCGCAACACCAGTTCGGCCCATAGATAATGCACCCGAACGAAACCCAGTACAGGTTATCGAAAGGGGGGGGGGGGGGGGGGAGAACAGTCCGAGATTATGGTAATGAGCGAGGAGCTGAGCCTGGAAGTGTCTGTGATGCCGAACCGCCGTCACCCGGCGACGTTGCACTTGCATAGCGGGGGGCAGGCACTGCGGAGACAAGCACAGGACCCGACCCAAGGTTGAACCATGAGGACTTTGGATCCCATATTATCCATCATATGTATACCTCGACCTGCCTCAACTATAACCGGTAGGTGGTTTTCGCCAAGCCAGGTACTCGGGTAGCGAGAGCGAGGCCGTCCACTGATTCGGGCTGTTTGTCGTCTGATTGCCGTTGACGTGACGTGGTCAGAGAATTGACGTCCGGATTCAGGTCAGTATCGTTGGAGATGCCACTGTTGCTTAGCAGTGAGACCGTGATGCAGTGGATGATGGAAGAACTGAATCGTTCACAGCGAGATGCCATGCCGGTCAGGTTACGTACGGCATTGCGTCCTGCCAAATGCGTGCCTGCCCTCGGCTGGAGAGTCCATGTGGGTCGCATCCCGTCAAATGGACAAGTGGGGCCAGGCACATAGTAGAAAGATATGGTCTGTGCGCATATAATGACTGTGGTCGTCTCGGGCTCTTTCCGTACGATCGGCCCCGGGCCGTCAGGGTTGAAGGAAGTGCAACCGTGACAAATGTCAACGACGGCCAACAACAAAGGGCAATGACTACCTGAAGTGACATGACAAGCGCCATCTTGAGCAACTTGAGGGCAGCGACAGCTCGGTTTTGCAGTGATCCTCTTTCCTCCTGTCTTCCATCGACTGTCGTCCAGTCGAACCGTTGACTGGTTCCCGGCTTCCTTCCCAACATCATCACACTCGGCTCCCGTCGTCAATTTCGGTGCCGTGTGTTTGCATTGAGCAGTTCGTCCACTGTCATCTTGGCTTTCCACCCATTCGTTCCTATCGCCTTCCTCTTTGAGCTAGTCGGCATAATCCTCTTCATGGACACTACCTACGTTCAACAGCGGACATCGACGGCAAATTCACCTCGTCTCGTTCATTCCAGCCACACCGGGGCTCACGTAGTAGTCATGCTGCCCCGGCTGTTTCGATCGATCGGACCAGCGCAGCACGCCGACATGGCCGCTGCGCACACGGCCTTTCTCGCATGAGCATGCCACAGTAGCCACACGGCAGCCATGTCTACCACTGCCGCAGTAGGGTGGGAATGCGTTCATGGACTTCGGACATGATCTCCGCGCCAGAGCCCGACGGCAGCCAGCACCGGCCGCATTCCACTGGCCCTCATGAACCCAACAACCCTCCGAGCTCGTCGGCAACCGTTGCCGTCAAGCCATGCCGTCTTCAGCTCCTCACTCAGCGGCCGCGTCTCTTCAAGTAGCGATAGGCGATAGCTAGCTTTCGTACGGTCCGGATCCTCATTCATATGCCCATACGGTACGAGACATACAGCAGACTCCAGACTCTTCGGTTGTTGCACACCTGGCCCGCCACCTCGGAAGCCTCATCAGCCTCTACCCCTGAACGATAATCGCACCGCTGTCCTTGGAGTGGCAGCGGCAGCATGCGCTGGGTACGGCTACCCACTACGCTCATGTGCCGTCTCAGGCTTCGGTTTGGCATGCTCCTCGTTCCGCTCCTGGGCCCGGATTGCTCTTGGAGCTGGCCCTGCCATGTTGTGCAACCTGGACCCATCCTTTATGTCGGTCGTCCACAGTACTTCTCGCCATGTTACCCTTCCTGTTAGACATGGCTGAGCGTCGTCGAGTTTGGATGAGGAAACGGTGTAGCAGTGTAACAAGTCCTCCCGTGGGGACAATCTGGTTGACTACAGCGCCATTCTGGACCAATCGATTCTCACCACTCCCTTCTCTGCCGGATACCAGCGAGTGACCCCTTCACTTCGGCCCCATCTTTTTCGTCTTGCCAAACTTCATTCCGAGCGGTGACACGGCATACCCTTTGGTGCTTGCAAAGCCCACAGTGAGATGCAAGATAGGCCACACAAATGCCATGCCCATGCCATGTTTTCTGCAGTTTGTCACCTACAGGACACCACATCCATGGACCAGCCCCGTCCTGGTTACACGAATCAAGCCAACGGGCTTGCAGAGACGCCTTTGCTTTCTCAGCGAGCCAGTACGCACATGAGGATAGCCGTTTCTGTGTATCTCGACAACTCACAAAGCTGAAGAAATGGGCCCTGCTCAACAGTGGCCCGTCCGACAATCAGAATCAGAGCTGGACAGTGGCTCTCCCGATTCTTCGGAGGGAACGACAAAAAGTAGACCAAAACTGGTCACGGTGGCCCACTGCCTCATCAACCTGACTTCGGGTCCAACCGCCCACGTCGCATTTGCGGTATCGGTTAACCCGTCCAAAATCTGAGAAGACCAGGAGATTTGCCACCTTCCCCGGATTCTCAATAAAACGACATGAACTACAAGCCCGTAGCCTCAGTCAAGGACCAGCAGCTATGATGAAGAGCCGAACATAATCATATTGACCTAGGAGACATACAACCTTGTCTGTCCCGCACCGATGGAGTGAGCCAGCAGCCTGTGGTTGCAACAAGTCGTCGGTGCTGCAGTGACATACTCCGCAAAACCTTCTTTTGCAGAGTAACCTATCACTGATGAGTAATGTAATGGCTCTGATGTTTCATTCCGCTGTGCTCATACAAATGATCATAAAACTCCGATCGGGGCTGCCGCAACCCGCCAATGGGTGTTTAATCGTCGTCTACATGCCAGGCTCTCTGGAAAGCAATGACGATACAGCAACATGAAGTCGTTTGGAAATTCTGGCACCAGATTTAGGCATGCATTCCGCATCTTCCGCAGGCATCTATCCATAAGAGCACTGGAAGAATCACGACACGAGAGATTCAATCACAATCAGCTGCGAACAGATGGCACAAGAGAGAGTGGTATCGCCAGGCATGCTGGCATGCTGTTTTCCGGAATGGAAGCTTTCCAGAGTCCGTGGAATGTCCCGCTTACTGTTTCTTTTTCTTCCTCGCGGCATGGCGACTACATCAAGCCCAAGACCAGGTTTGCGCTTGTTGTAAGGGATGAAGCAAGAACCCATGCCACCCGAACAGCTATGTACCCCAACTCCCAATCGTCGTGTGACATTTGTGACCCTTCCATTCTTCTTCCCTCCCTCCTCCCGGGTTTCCATCACACACCCCCCAGACCCTTGACCTCTAGCAAACTCTCAGGCACGTCAGATCCAACGCATATTTCCCCAGTCCAACTCCTGCCCTTGCTAGTGCAATGCTTGTTTGAGCTGAGAGGATACGGCGTGTACAATCCTGCCCTGGTTTGTTTGTTAGGCTGGCACAAAAGAGTCAAAGCGTTACTGGATATAGTATAGCCTTCGGCTTTTTATCAGGGAAAACGCTGTAAAACTGAGGTCTTGAAGTCTTGAAGACCCCGAAGCAGACGGAGAGAGCTATCAGAGCACACCCGTCAGAGACTTCTGTAGCGTTACAACTCTTGCCATTGTTTAACATCGCTTCAAACAGAGGACCCTCCCTCTTCTGGAAGGCCATGAAGAACTCCAAGCCTACCCTGCTCGAACCAAAGTGACACACAAAAGAAAAGAAAAAAAAAAATTGGTAGAAGATCAGGTCATCAGGTTACCCAAGGTACGGCAATGGAATGAAATCATGGCAGACAAGCCATCGTCAAATGGGACGGTTTGTCATCTGCCCGCACTGCCTCTGGATGTCTGTTCCTGCTCCTCTCAACCCCCCCCCCCCCCCCCCAACATATCACTCGCTATCCAAACACACACACCGTTGGTCCGATGGCCCGTCGTGAACATGAGCTCTCATCCTCGAAGTCTGCCGTAGGTTGAACGGAAGGAAGCATCCGACTCCACTACCAAAAAAAAAAAAAAAAAAAAGCAGAGTACCATCACCCCTCACAAAGCCGTTCGTACCTGGCATGCATAGCCCTTGCATGATATGGAGGCCAAACGAAACGAAACAAAGAGGTTACATCGGCGAGCCATAACCGTATATCGAGGAAGCCAGATTGGGTTCTTGACTTTGTTTGAGAAGTTTCGCGCTGCTACCCCGGACGTTGTTACATTTCCTTACAATGCCAAAGGAAAGAAAAAAATAAAACGGAGGAGAACGCCGGCAGAGCGAATATCGCAGTGTGTTTGTCCAAAAAAGAGAAAGAAAAAGAGGGAAAGAAGTGGAGATGATCAGATTCTCAATGTCCACTTGGCTCCGGCCAGCGACATTGACCAAGACGGAAAAACATACAATCCTTTGAGCTGTTCAGTCTAGCTCATTGGTTTCAACGAGCGTTGCCTGTATATTCGTTCGTTCATGTTTTGGCTTGTGTAGGGTGCCGAAGTAGATCAAGGAAAAGAAGACAATCGTCGCATTAATGAGCGACCCCTGAATGCCGGTAAACCCCGTCACTTCGTTTTGTCCCGGCCATGGGTGACTACAAACATTCTTGATACTAGTAAAAAAAGCAGTCAAGGGCCCTAGTGGAAGTTAAACACTGAAATTTAGGCTTGCGTGGAAACCAGTGCAGTGCTTTGTGGGTTGAAACTAGCACAGTACCTGTAAGGCACAAGCCATTGAATACACTTACGCCGAGTTTTGAACCCTGCTGCTACCACCACCCTCAACCGCCCAAGATGCTACTGACTCCTCCATATGGATCACCTCAAAGGATAGCTCTTGAGAAAAGTACCCTCTCGAGAAATCCACGGTAGTCGTAAACCTTGCCACCCCGCGAGGGCCACTCAACACCAAGCTCATACATATTGCGAAAAATGGTGGAGAGAATCCAAAAGACAATCTTAAAAGAACAAAACAAGGGAACTGATTCGTGAAAACATCCAAAAATCCGCCCTGGTATATAGATAATGATGCCAGCGAGACATGGGACAAACAAGCCGAAGTGTCTTTTCAGTTACCGTGAATATCAAATGCCACGATTACAACAAACCAATCGTCAACATGTTCCACGCACTACTCAAAAGCACATTGCCACCCGACTCTCTGGTCAAAAACAACAAAACCTCAGCAGTGACCCATAAAGACTGACCCGATTCTAAAGTATATATGGTCGTCCACGTCGATTCGGAAGAAGAAAGGAAAAGTGTCTGCATGTCGTAAATATTCAAACCGCCGCCCCATATGCCCCGATTCCCTGTGCACCAGCGCCAGTAGGCGCCGTTCCCGAATATCTCCGCTTCCGCTTCATGCCCAGGGGGTCATTCACAGAATAGTCATCGGTGGTGCGGTGGCTTGCCGGATTGTTATGACCATGACCGTGACCTAGCCCCAAGACACTCGCACCAAAATTATCTCTCAATGACTGCGTATCCCTCGAACTTCCTCCACCATTAGACATGCTGCTGGCCTGAAACGCTTGCGAGAAGTCGTTGGGAAGGGCAATTGGGGCGCTCATCTGCGGGATGGCATAGTCTGTGGTCCCTGCCGATGGTGGTGGCCTGTAAGGTGATGTTCGGGAAAGGGAGTAATCGGCGGGCGCGGAGAGGGGTGCGGAAGGAAAGCTCGACGCAGAGTAGCTTGAAGAGGCGCCGCCACTGCCTAGCTGAGCAGTAGACGATGCACGGGTAGAAGTTGGCGAATGTGCTGTTGACTGTAAGCTGTTGGCTCCTACAGCCGAGCGAAATTGCGTTCGTAGATCGAGACCAAAAGGCAGGGAGGCCGAGGAAGCACTCAAGCGCGAAGTTCTGCGAGAGTTGTTTTGAAGACTAGATGACTGATAGTTGGGATAACTCAAGTGAGTAGGCGACTGGGCGGTCGATCCTATGTGAAGCTGATCAGCCATTAGATATGAGAAGAGTAAGGCTCAATCGAATGACAGCTTACCCGCATAGTGAGTTGGATCATAGCTTCCCAAGTTAGATGTGGAGGTACTGTTCATATGATCCTGGTGGTACAGGCTTTGCGGCCTGCTGTTCATTGGGGGTGAAGTGTTGCTACCGTGATAGGTTGTATAATCAAGGGACTCGCCTTTCCATGACATACTAGTTCGTAGTGGAGACTGAAGTGTTTCGGCGCGAGACCTATTCGTGGTCTCTCGAAGTTGAAGAGGTTGTAATGTGCGTATTTGGTGTTGTGAATGATGATTATGCATATGTACGCTCGCGTCGAGTCCAGGTTGTCGTGCAAATGGATTTAACGACCGTGCTCCAGCACTCAACGACGCCGAGAGATGGTTACTGTATCCGTATCTATCGGTAGAAGGGGGCGACATTGGTGAAAGAGTGTCTGGGTTGTTGAGCGAGTTCGAGGGATTGAAGCCTATACTTCCGAACGCTGGGCTCATACCGGTCGATGAGAGATGGTCATCGGTATCAGATCGCCGCACGTCCACCATAAGCGGTCTCATCATGTGGTCTGCATAAGACGAGGCAGCAAAATCAACGGGCGAGGTCAAGGGTGTCCCGAGACCGTGAACCGCTCCGTAAGGGGCATGAAGTGCCTGGACATTGTCGAAGTCGTCGGGAACCGCCCTCATTTTCATGACACGGTCCCTTTCGTCCGCTGTCAAGCGCTTGATTTTTGCTCGCCTGGCAATTGGTTAACCCACGGACCGAGCTATTGGCTCTGTATCGAGAAACTTACCGATTCTGGAACCAGACTTGTACCTGACGAGGGCTCAAGCCGGGTATTTCTCGAGAAAGTCGTTCTCTATGCGCGGCATCAGGATGGGGCTGTTTAGCAAACTCGCTCATTAAGAATCGTGTCTGCTGGTGGGTGAGCCTGCGCATGTCAGTATCTGGTTCCATGCCTTGCGAGTTGCAGTCTGGATTACCTGAACCGCTTCATCTTCCGGCGTTGTGCTGTTCTCTCCGCTGCTGTTTGCGGCTGTGCTTGCGCCTGAGGCTCTTCTTCCACATCGCCATCTATCATTTCTTCATCATCCAACACATTGTCATCTTCATCTTTGATCGTCGACTGAGCTTCATTCACTGACTGTGCTGTGGATGAGTTTGGTTCGTGCGCGGCTGAAGGGACCGAGCTTAGTGGATGGGAGCCGAGCGAAATATTAGGTGTTTCTGTCGACATATGGGATCCTCCGTGTGCCGTCTCAGAAGCCTTTTGAGTGTACAACTCGCTGTGATTTCCTACCTGCTCAACAACTGGGGATGGCCGCTTCGGTTGCCGCAGACCTAGAGGATCGGCTCTGTGTCCTAATGGCGAAATAACCCGCTTGGGCGGTTCGACCTTTAGAGGACTGCCTGGGCCAACCACGGATCGCGTTTGAGCTTGGGAATTCGCATTGCCTGTCGAGCTTGAGACGTGTTCGTATGACTGCGAGAAGAGACTGTTGTCGCCTGGCGGAAGGAACGAATACTGGCTCTGCCAGTCCGACTGCGTCACAGGGTCAAAGTTCGACATACGTAGACTGTCTGCCGACGCTAAATAAGGTGTTCCGAACTTGCTGATAGACCAAGAACTTTGCTCCGTAGCGCCTTGCCTGGACGTAACGAGCATTGGAATGACAAAATCTCCCGGAGTATGCGACAAATCTAGGGCTCGTTGGTGAGATCGTTGCTGGTCCTTATTGTGCCACGGGAAGCACGATACGCTAATTTCTGTTTCTCGGAGAGCCTTAAACAAGGTTGATGTAGCGAGCGAAGCCAACGGTATTAGGCTGATAGTGCTGGTTTTAGAAGTTCCAAGCGTACATCGATGTCTGCTTGCTTCGCGATGGCAACTGCTATCCTGAAGGTTCGATGTTGCTGACGACTAGTGCTAAGCTGGGATGATTCAAGGACCAAGTGATCATGGGATTGTGTCGACAATCTTGGGATCCAAACCCGTGGTGCTAGGTTATTGCTGGTTTAAACGAGACAGAAAGCTCTGGGGAACGGGGTGAAGAAGTGCTCGTCGTGTGTACAGCGTTTGGGTAGGGTGTGTTGTACCAAAACTCTAGATTTGACCAGTCAAAATGAAGATCAAACGAAGCAGTGGTATGAGTAAACCGGCTGGTGAGACGGTTACTAGTCCACCGATTTACTAGTAAATGCTCCAACAAACCCTTGTTGACCCTGTAGTCGGTTGGGCAATGATGATCTCTCGTTGACAGATAAAGAGGGGGGTGTTGGCAAGATTGTCTAAGAACGGTTGGCGTCAAAATCCTTCTAGGATACTGTTCATCGTCCTTGAAGATCCTCGTCAAGGACAGCCAGATCCAGAACGTTCAAAGTATTGTGGGGTGTCCGTGAAAATAATAAGGCCTTCTCTTTGATGTCTGTTTGGCTGGTAGGACAGGTGTAGGATTAATACCGGCGAAGCCCCCGATTCACACGGAGAAGGGTCGAGGCAGGCTCCAAATACAGACAGGGTCCGCACGGGAAGCCACAACAAAATTGGCCAGAATTTGGGTATGGGGTATCAGAGGACCAGGTACCTGACTACGGTTACTCGGTAAGGCGAGCCCTTTGGGGGCGTGTTTGAAAGAATCCCTGAAATAGAGGCAAGCCGCAACTAATCGCCTCTGGTATGTATAATGGGGGACGGTCGACGACGGACGGCACAGCTGAGCCACACCATTATATGCACTGGCTCTGATTGTCGACCTGTAACGACAGGGCTATATTGATCTGTCTAAGATCATAGCAGTCTCGGCTGAATGGCTAATGCTGTGCCATTAAGGTGTTTGGACCATCCGGGGCATCCCTCCATGGTATCATCCGTGAGCAGGCTATAACGGAACAGAAGAAACACCAACAACTTGAACGACGAGTAGCAAGGGAAGCCATATGGGAAGAGTAGAAGGCTGCTTCAGCAGCGAGGAAACGGTATGGCAAGCGCCGTGGTAAGCCCAAAACAAGGTTGCAAGAGGACAAGGAGTGCATGGATACTGGCCGAGAAATATAGGCAAGGGCTTGTGGGCCAATGAGGCTGGCACAAACATCCGACACTCGCGGAGGCAAGACAAGGTCGTTCAACCGTAGCCTGCAGGCAAGCACTTGCGAGGACGCCGGTAACGCACCTCAACTTGCGTTATGGGCAGAAAGTGATCTCACTGTCTCACAGAGTAAACGGAACATAACCCAGCGCGGTCAGCTGGAAACCCGTTACCATAGCTTTGTAGTATGCGATCGGGGGGTGATTGCAGAAAAGGTATAAATCCAGGCCGTGTGTAGTATCTTTGGTTCGATCAGAGTGAACGGCTGATTGGCCTTCCGTGACTGAGTCCTTTGTCGATTCCACGGAAGCAGGCATGACGTTACAGAGTCGCCTTTTCCCTTGGGCCAATGAAGAAGGTTAACGGCCCAGAGCAAGGGTTGCGATGCCAGTATTGCTAGTTCTTTGGTCTGCGGGTAAGAGTGATGATGAGGAGGAACCGGCCATGAAGGCATAAAACAGAGGACGAACGCAGATCAGTTAAGTAATGACAAGAGGGTTAAAATGGAACTCTCCTTTCAGCAAACCACACTACACTGTAAGATTACGACATCAGTGCTGCTCGAAGCAGTCAGTTGAGCTGGGTATGGTGGTGCGGGAGGGAGAAGGGAGCATTCGGTGATGCTGGGGAATCGAAGCCATCCTTGTAACATGGCACCTCCGAGTACTTTATGGCCGCAAAGCAGGGGGGTCCGATAGGGAGGGAGATCATTGATGGGCAGAACTTTCCTGTTGATGTCCCATCTAAATCCACAAAAGGCTTGACGACCTGGAGCACTGTTGGGTTCGATGTCGCCCTACCAACATCTGGACCTCTTTACGGGTCTCCCTCAACCGAATTCCCAGCTTTGCAGACGCTAAGGCCTGTAATGTAGTGGACCGGTCTGAACCGAGCGGCATTTGCGTTTCGTTTAGCAACAAAAATCGGGATTGAGGCATACAGTTGAGTTGTGTGACCCTTATCTGTCACGTTGATGACAAGTCAAGGTACGCCTAGCTCACACGGCGCTAGGCCAGGTTGCAAGCAGTGTGAGCTACATCTCTCGCTGGGCAAAACACCACCATTCCTATCCGTCAGAACTTGCCGAGGAGACACAGTCCGAGCGGCTTCATGGGTAAGGGAGGAAGAGTGCTGGGTCAAGCTAAGCATGACACTTATCCTGGGCAGCTATATCAAGATCTCCACCCCTCTTCCAGATATGCTCCCCCACGGTAGTTGATGCCGGCGTGTGCGAGGGCTTTGACAGGCGAGTTGACTTCCACTTAATGGGGAGGAATTTCGCGAAGAGAAGACCCTAGTACAGAAAGGCTCGACGCATGGGAGCCCATGAGCGGCGTGAGCGAGTCAGGAGTCGAGGGAAAGTGCGCCGAATAAGCCGTAGGCTGATATGATGTGTGACCTCCCAGGAAGCTACAAAGGCCGGGTCCGGTGGGGTCTAGTGTAACTGTACGATAAAAAGGATAGGAGGGTCCCGGTACCTAGAGGAGATACTGTGGACTAGGTAAAGGCGAGAAGGAGAGGCGTCTTGCAGGCGGAGGGTGGTAGTGAGAAGCTCTGCAGTCTGCGGTCTGTGTTCTGCTCGAGTGTGGACGGTGGACGCGAGAAGACGGTCGTGTCGTTGCTAATGCTGTGCCAAGACGAAGGAGGACAGACGCAGTTGGGCTAGAAAGGTGGCTCAACGGTCGAATCTTCTTCGGGGAACACACTCCGTGGGCGTGGACGCAGTCAAGACGCCAGATTCCAAGCCGGCGCATGCCATGGCTCCCATGGCTTCGAGAGGGTGTCCGTACAGCAGACAGGGGGCTGTATAGTAGACAAGGGTCATGTCCCGTTGCAGGGGCAACAAGGTAGCTGTATGGACAAGCGTAAAGGTAACGGCAGGGTAGCCAGGTGAGCCAGGCGAGTTAGGGGTGCAGCCCACCACCACCACCATTTCCCTGACAGCGAGAGCCACGGCTTGCACAGTTTCAATAGGGACTGGCATTTGTGAGACGCGACGGTGGCATCCAACAGCATGGGCGTGTTGCTGCCCGTACCATGCCGAAACGGACCAAGAACATGGACTGCTCGGCGACGGGGTCCGTCAACGATCCCCCATCCGTTCTTCTGCCCTAGGAGCAGGGCCTGGCAGCCGTTGTGCTTGTCTGGGGGACCGGCATTCCAGCTTTATCCCGACAACTGGGCACAGTGTTCCTGAATCTTGCCTAATCCGGATCGCCAATTGTCGAGGTTTGGCCAGAGGGTTCCAAATACTTGCGACCTGATTTCAAGTCAAGCAGTCAGCGAGTGACACAGCCAAAGGTGCATGATTCCGGTTAACCTACTTGGCTGGCCATAATGAGGCCGTTCAGAGAAATCTACACTTGAACAAGGACCGGAAGTGATGGGAGAAATACCCGAATGCAGTGGGTTCGGGGTTCAGGAGGGAAAAAATGGTTTCTGTGCGTCCACGAGCTGGAGTTGAGATGATCGACGCTGGAAAATGGTTCCTAGTTCCGTCCCGTCAGAATGAAAGAGTGGATCCAAGACTATAAGAAGATTTCATTGCAGTCACTCGACCGATGTTGTGGGAGTGAGGGAAGGTGCCTTCCTTTGCTTTCACTTGTACTTACCTACCTACCTTACCTCCTTCCTTACCTTGATGTTCTTGGTTGCTACCTTCCCTTGGTGGGCACTTGCCATATGAGTGTCCTGTTTGAGACCTCACGCTTCAGCTTGAAGCACGCAGATCAGAAATGGAAGTTTCAGGAGATAAAGTGGACCAGACATCATCGTTGAGGTCGTCTTCAATCATCTCGATTCAGTCAGTCACTTAAGTTTCCTTTTTGCGTTCCTGAAGGCCATGTGCGATCATTTGCGTTCTGTTGGGGAAAGAGGGGAAGTGGTTCATCGTAGCGAATCGGGCAGCCAAGATGCGCTCGAATCGGGAAGGTGGGTTGCGCCATCTGGGTCGATCCAGATTTCCCATCACTTTGCAGTACTACCTCTATGTATAGAGCATCAGAGCAGAGGGTCGTGATCCAGAAAGCCAACTTGAAGTGAGGTAAGAACCAGCAAGTACCCTCACTCCGGATCGTCTGAGACCGCGTGTACGACTTGTAGTCTGTATCGTTCATTAGCAGACGGTTTCATGCCATGGAAGCGCTGCCGGAATATATACAAACCGTAACCTCGGTTTGGCATGGTTGACTTTGCACCAATATGCATAGGGTTGAGATGGAGGCACAGATGCGGCGGACGAGGCGGGCAAGGCGGGTAGCTGACAACTTAAGGTCAAGGTGTAGCATTCCTCCCACTGCCTCTCGCCTTTTTCCACATGGCACACAATAGCAACTTGCTTGATTAAACGAACCTGAGGTGCGCAGAGGTATTCCTGCAGCTACCCCTCAGATTAAGGGCTGCAACGGAAGAAAAAGACCCCATACACACAATGCCCCATGTGGTACTGTGTAGCAAGGCCCAAGTTTGTCTGCACGCAACCCCCTGGCCGGGCCGAGTTTGCTAGGTCATGCTAACCACTCGCTGCTGGAGCATGATTCAGATCGTGAATACGAGGACAATGTGGAAATTTCAGGTCGCTGGTTGTGTCTGGACTCCCGAGCTCGGGTAGATCGGAAAAATGTCTGTACCTGCTGCTGCGTGTAATTTCCAACGAGCTCATGATGGACGGATGTGACGGGTGTGACTGGATAACATTGTACAAGACTACTACCCGGAGGCAAAAGCATTCACGCATCACCTCTGCTTTCGTCGCACGCCGTCGTCTCAATTGTAGCCGATTCTCGGCCCGTTCCATGCTCGATGGCTCCTTGGAGATAGTGCGTGACCCTAGAGTCGCTCAACACAATGCGAATAGAGTTGTCTGGTTGGTCGATACCGCCTGTCTGCATCTCGGCTCGACATCCTGTGACTGATACTCAGTCTAGTACAAGGGCTCCTGGGTATATAGTAGGACCGACACAACTGTAAATATGAAGGCGGGCGTTTTGTCCACAACCTGACCAGCGGTACTGATTGTCCAGTCAAGCTTCTGTTGCCAAAGACCAGGGCATCAAAGACAACACCAGATGTACGAATCGGTGCGATCCGGGATTATATGATTGCAATTTGTCGAGCCGAAACGGCGCAGCACCCGCTCAATCTTAGTAAGAACGGAAGGACAATGTCGGATGAGCCGTCTGAACATGAGGTGCTGGCTTGGCTGAGCCAGGACTATTCCCAAAATTGACGCGACGGTTCACCATCATCGTGATGTGGCCCGCTGGCACGGCTCTCACCGTAAGAGGTGGCACATGAAGACATTTCGAAAGAAGACGGAAAGCTCCTTTGTTTCAGAATCCGGCTTATTGAGCCGATAATAGCTGCGCTGGAAAGACGGGCGCGGCGCCAAACCAACTGAACCCAACCATAGTCGACAGTGAGACACCATTGAGGAATGTTGAGGGAAGTTTGGGTCGCAGGCGTGACTGCCGAACTGTGCACTTGGATCGATTGCCCAGATGCCCGCTGCGCCACATGTCGATGGCTTTAAGCTGGCAGCTGCAAAGGTGGCGCTTTGCAGCTGTAGCGGCAGATAGTTGACCCAGCTGTGCTAGCTAAGCTTTCATTGGTCAGTTTAACTGGCAACTTCCCACAACTTGATACTCGCCAGGGGCAACTTCATCAAGTGAGGAAAGACGGGATGGGCAGGAGCGACTGGATACAGCACACAACTTCTTGCACGATACCTTAGGAGGCTGACGGCTGGAAGAACTGTTTCTCTTCTAATCAACGAATCGAAGCGGGACAAAAGCCACTCAGCTTCCGTTCTCCTACTCCCGTCCTCTCACACAAAGCATCCTACTGGCAATGCATATATATCCGTGACTGAACCACCACAGCCGACTACGACGTCATCCTCCATAACGCCCGACGTGCTGCCGGCGCCGCTGTAACGGGCGCGTATCTTCTCGGCTTTATTTTTATGGCTTCTTTTCCAAGTCCGGGCCTCCATGCTGCCCGAGCCTGGACACCTTGTCACGCGATTCATTGCAACAGGACAATACATGGTGGTGTCAAGCAGAGTCTGGGCACGATAGTCCTGGCCGAGGAGTCCTCAGTGAGTACCTAGCGAGCTGAGGAGGTAAACAGACCAGTTCGGGTTTCACGAATTCGAGGTCAACTCTACAAGCTGCCTTTGCTGGCGTGAATGGTGTGGTGCGGACATGGCAGGTCTGTTTATCGACTGTGCTCCTCTCCCGTCTCTGATGTGTGTCGGTCCCCATAACGCTTTTTGACTCGCCATGCTCGCAGTTGCGGTTCCAGACAGGGGCCCCTTTATTCTACTTCCCCGCCGTTTCTGATCCCCGGCCTGGCCATGGTCTACCAACACCAACACGGTCTATTTGGTTCTGCTCCGTACCTGTCTCTACGCGAACCGGTGCCTTGGGTATGCCTTTTGCTGTATGGCCTGGTCCAGATTGCAGCTGAGACGGCACATGTCTGGATACCTCTCCCTCACTTGCCACCAAAGGTGCGTATAGATGATCCCCATTCATGTATACCTACTCTCTGACACCTAATCTCGACCCCATCATTTCTCCGAATGCTGTCAACCTGGCACACGCCAGTAGGCATCGTGTCAAGACGTCAGCCGCAACCGCTATGCATACCTGGGAGGCTTTGTCCGACTTGCACACCTTCTATCCACCGGTACCACATACATACGGTGGAAAGGAAGCCTCGGACGTACATGTCCTGCGGTTTTTTTTGCCTGAATGTTCTTCTTGGAATTGACTGTCGCTGAGTATGCTAAACCGTCACGGGGAGAAGCCGCTCGACCGAGGCTTTCGCCGAGCTGGCCTTGCTGTGAAACACCGTGACACAAACAAGACGTTGTCCTCGCACAATCTTCCGTCTCTCACTCAATACGTCCCTGCATCTGTGGCCTTCGCCGACAACCTTCTGTGAGCGGCCAGCTTCTGCAGACCTTCGGCATGGAAACCTCTTGGTGTGAACATGCAGCAATCCGCAATATTGAGCCAATGGCTTGGAACCCTAGCCATAGTGCCCAACTCGTCACAAGTCAAACACCGGACAAGGGAGAAGTCAATGGGAACCGCACAAACCTCTCACACTCTCGTTACTCGCTACATCATGGCCTTGACCGTTGGCGGCGTCGAAGCCATGTGTGTCGGCTGCATGCCTGCATGTGAAGCACGCGCTCCACTCGCGAAACCAAAATCCAGCCGGCAAGAGCATGGCGAGTTTGTTCTTGCGATCCACGACTGCAATTACGGGCATGTCAAGATGCTCTGAGAATAGGCATTTAATCTGTGCTTCGATGATGCGGGCTATGGTTATAGCTCGGTCTCCTCTCATCTTCACATTTTCCAGTTCTGGGTTGACTCAGACTCTCCACTTGAAACATCATATCGTCTATCATGGGACAGGGGTGGAGTATAACCAAAAAGACATATCGTCAACCGTCCAATCCTCCAAAACAGCTAGTATCCTTGGACAGACGATAACGATATCTGACCTTCTGGTTGCACATGTTTCGATTGGACCTTCTTGCGAAGTGATCTACGCCAACCAAACCATACGCGGCTTTCCGACGTGTGACATCGTGCAGATGCAGTTGATGTGCTCCTCACACGTGTAGAAAGCTAAAAAGTGGAAGTTCAGAATGTCCGCGAATGCGGTCCACCGTCAAACACGAGGCCGATTCTGTGGCGTCGGGGTTCACATCGAAGCGGATTACATGTCCACATTTCACGGCTCAACGGCTAAACTATTGGGATCGAGCACTCCGGTGCCCTGGAACGCAGTTTGAGCTGTATGTTGGTGGCAGTTGAGCATAGCTACCTCCCTAGGTGTAGAATGCTTATCATGACAATTACGACAAGGACAATATGTCTTTGTTCGCCATCAAGACCACAGCCCAATATCAATCCGCGCCCAACACAAGCGATGAAATTTTATCCCGGCTTTGGTATCTTCATCAATGCCCCCAACCCTCGCGATGTTAAGCAGGTGAATTGGGAAGCACCGGGGCTCGAAAGATGGAAGGATCCATTTACAAGGCCATCTTGATGAGAGAAGCACTTTGTGACATCGGCTTATGTAGCTGGCTCGCGCATCAACACTCCCGTCGGCTTCAGTTACCACTGGTCCTATCGATCATTCAATCAGTGAGCATGGGCTGATGCACAACACTTGAGGTTCCGCCTGGCTGGAGGCAACAGAGCACACGTATCACAACAAGGACCTGCGTTTTAGCAGTTCAGCAGCAACCCCTTCAGCTCCTTCTTTTGCCTTATTCCGATGACACAAATTCAGATGCCCTCAATATCAACAGAGCCCACATCTCGCCTGAGAAGTTGATGCGGATTGAGAAAGACAGCAAGTGGCAACTAATAGCATTTGACTGATGCTCATCCTGGTCACAGATGATCCTGATGCTGTTGCCGCGGTGGCAATGCCGTCTTGTCTTCATGATTGCCCTTTATTCCGTGGCGGCTACATGTTTAGCCGCTGGATTACCACCCGCCATGCAGCAAGCTTTGATCCACCTTTTCCTCTCCAGATTTTCGTCTTCGGATACGACCTGCCTGTGGAAGGGCGGTATTCACCATTGCAGATGTTGGCGATTATGTGCCATCCAAACAGTTTGTGATACTTTTGTCTTGATCATGGGTTAACGCTGTCCAGATACCCACATACGTACCGTGTACATTTTATTTTACCCAAGGGGGTGGAAAGCTTCAAGACTCAGCCGTGTAACAGTCACGCCCGAGATCAGAGCACTCTTCTGTCCGTCGGTCATCATTCTGTGGCAGGACGGCTTGCTTTGGCGTCTGTATGATGGTGGGAGTAAACACAGATAGAACACCTCGTTGCTGGGAGCAGGAGACTGGCAGACAGAATCACATCAATTGTCTGAGTGATTTCATACTTTGGGGCGCGTCCTCACGATGTTCAAGTGCATCACATCACTTGAACATTCACCCAAGTTCATCACCCGGCTCATACCCTCTCAACATGTAGAGTCCATTGTTCCAACAGACCTAGCGTTGAAGGCTAACCTACAGTCAAGGGAAAGGGCATACTTCTAGTCTGATGCACTCTCGGCGCCGGTCCCGAACATCATGCAGTGCTGCTTATGAGCTGGCTGCTGAGTTGTAGCAGTTATCGACGAGGCCCATCGAGACTTTTGCTCATTTCTTGATCGGACAGGGATCATCACACCCACCATGCAAACCAAGGATGGTATCGTTCGACAGATTTCTTGCCCTCATAGGTGCGTAGGGACGGAATTTTACATATTGTCTCTCACACACCCCTTTTGCCCTTGTCTGCTTGGCCACGGCTCGCCTCTCGCTTCCGGCCCTCCATTTTCGTCACATTGCGTTTCCCCGGCATGCTTCCTCAACATCCAATCTCACGCCTGAAGAGAGGGAAAGGTGTGTAGACATTAAGCAACAATGTGGGGAGGGAGCAAGAGCACATGAAAGATCTGAAAGCTCACCCAAGTGGGTGAAGAAGGCATGTCGTCTTGCAGTTACTGGTGTTTCCACTTGCATATGCTGGTGGTGATGGACTGGACATGACCTTTACAACTCCGGCCCCCTTCTCTTCGCCACTTTAAGGAGCCACTAGTCTTGCGAGTGGTCATTTTTTACATCCTGCCCGTTCTGGCAGTGGAACTTATCAACGTACCTAGTGACAACGCCTCGGGTTGTTCCGTCCAAAGACATGGAAGAAAGTTGTGATGAGGAAGGGGTGGATGAGGTCAACGTCTTTGGTCTTAGGTTCCCGTCTCAAAAAACAAGACTGAAAGACTGCCTTGACTCGGTCGAAGTATCACCACCCTTACCCCGACAGTGTTGGGGCTGGTGCGCCATTTGTGAGATGATAGGATGATATCTCACCCCCTCTTTGTTTTTTTTTTCGGTCCGTTAGACACCCGTGTACTATTCGTCACGAGCGAGTTGGAAGCCCCCGAAACGTCATCTGATTTGATGGAAGTAGGAAAGAGTGTCGTCTTCCTCGTTGTTTCGTGACACGGTTGAGTCTTTGGGACAGAATAACTAATTACACGCAGGAAGAACGAGAACAGAGGAGACCGGCCATGTGGAATCTGATTGTATACTTTGTGGGACGCATGCATGAGGTGCCTTCGAGTTATGGACCTGATAGTTCGTCAGTTGTCAGACTTACCCTGGACAAAGCTAGTCCCGCTACATCGTAATCCGGTGTTGACATTTGACTGTTCACTAGCTTCAGGTCGCCTGTCCTTGCTGAATTGGATAGCTCATCGGCAAGTGTTTTTCGCGTCCGTCGTGTTGAATTTTCAATGACCGCTATTCCTAATTCCCTTTCCTCGATGGACACGGTGCCTCGTAAGAAGGCATCGGGCATTGGGCCAAGAGCAAGCTATACTGCCTACTACGGTAGTCAAAAAAATACTCTCATCCCTTACCGCAATAGATACGTGGGGGAGGGTGACGGTATTTTTCTATGAGTTTACTACATAGCGTAGCTTCCATCTACCAGGAACGAATGATACCAAAACCACTCGCAAACAAGCATACCGGAGCTATCTGGATATCAATAGAGGGGAAACTTGTACGGCCATCCAAACCTTCTTCTTGAACACATCGGACGAAAGCCTATCCGCCAGTCGCCGCGCTCCTTCCACTTATAAGGTACTCATCCACTATGCAGCCACGTAAATTACCACTAGCACAAGCCATAAGTTGTTTATATACTACCTAGGTTTTTCACCCCATTTCTTGTCTCATCCAGATGGTTCAATGACCAAGCGGTTCACGAAGCTTACTTTCCATCGAAAGGCAAGACTTATCGATCCAGGCACCTTATGTGCTCAATTCCCAGCAACGGCAATAGTTCCGACAAGAGTTTCCCATCCCCTCTCCATTGCACTATTCCCTCTCTTTCCATAGCACCTTCTCTTCTCCATTTTGCCATCGCACTTTCCACTAAATAACTACAAACTAGGTACTACCGCTACAGTCCCGGACACCCCGACGGCGATTGGACGTTACGATGACGATTCGGCATATTGCGGCTGACTTTTGAGGAGGTCTGGTGAGGGTTCTTGGGACGCCGCTTTACATAAACCTCTTTCTTTTTTTTTAAATGTAGTTTTTTTCAAAAAAAAAAAAAAATATATATATATATATAAAAATTGAGTTTTTGTCGACGAAAAGCGATGCTGCGCTGCTTTGCGCACGCTTCAGTTGGAATAGCAATCGCGAGTTGCACTAGTACGAGAGTCGACGACTGAGGGATCGCATTGCGGAGACGACGAATGTTGCTTGATCCTTGGTGAAGGACCTTGATAGGAGTTGGCGATGCTGGAACAAGTTTTAAAAATCTGACAAAAGTGATGCATTATCCTATCCAAATTGACGTGCTTTATATACCCCAACGTCTATCAGAACACTCGTAGCTGAAACGCAGCCTCTTACTGGTCAACTCACGAGTGTCTCGAGTGAGCTTCTCTACCCGGCGCCGTTCCCGGTCCTGTTGTTGTGTACATATGTCCTTGTTTGGTTGTGCGCGCTGACATCGCTTGGTATAAATGGTACGCATTCCCCCGAGACCATCAAAGCTGTCATAATATGAACCCGCCGCTCTTCAATTTATGTCGCCCATTCCTCGCTAACAAACCCTCCCTTTGCACATTCTCGTCAGACATCTATTGGTAGTCATAGAAGCCCTTGCCACTCTTCTTGCCCAACCAGCCAGCATCGACCATGTTGCGCAAGTGTACGCTCGGTCTGTACTTGGAATCGCTCGTCTCCTCGTACAGTACCTTCATAATGGCCAAACAGGTATCGAGACCGATGAAGTCAGCCAGCTGGAGGGGGCCCATAGGCACGTTGGTGCCGTTCTTCATAATAGCATCGATAGAGTCACGGTCGCCAACGCCAGTCTCAAGGCAGATAATGGCCTCGTTGATGTAAGGCATCAAGATGCGGTTAGCCAAGAATCCCGGGCTGTCCTTGGAGATGGAAGGGATCTTGCCCAGCTTCTTGCAGAACTCGACGGCCGTGTCGAGCGTCTCTTGACTGGTCTGCAGGCCGCTGATGATCTCGACGCCCTTCTGAACGGGCACCGGGTTCATGAAGTGCGTGGACACGACGCGCGAGCTGTTGGAGGTGTCGTTGGGGTCCTTGGTGGTTGAGGCGGCGATGCGCGTGATGGAGATGGAGGAGGTGTTGGTGGCTAAGATGGCGTGCTTGGGGCAGATCTCGGCCAGCTTGGAGAAGATGTCGAACTTGAGCGAGGGGATCTCGGGCACGGCTTCAATCACAAAATCGACGCTGTCCAGGTCCTCGAGGATGGTGGTGGGCTGGAGGAGCGCGCGGGCGGCGTCCGCCTCGTCCTGAGTGATGCGTTGCTTGGCCACGTCCTTGCTGAGGAGCTTGTCGGCGAATGCAAGGCCCTTGTCTAGAGACGTTTCAGAGGCATCCACAAGGGTGACGGGGACTCTGGCCTTGGTGGCGGCGACGAGGGCGATGCCCAGGCCCTAAAGGAGAAGGAGGACAAGTTAGCCATTGCCGTTGTTGAAGACATGGACATGAATGATATGGGCCGGACTCACCATCTGGCCGGCGCCAACGACACCGAGCCTCTTGACCTCGGCAGCGTTGCGGGCGCATGTCGAGCTGAAGGCGCGAGCGCCAATGGGGAGCTTCTGGACGAGGGTTCTAGCAAGCATTTTGCGAGATCGTCACGGCGAAAGTAAACAAAGCAGACACTGTGACTGAGAGAGACTGAAAGGAAAGGGACAGAAAAATCCGAAGACTACACCTAGGTAGGCAACCACCTCTAGAAAATGCGAATGCGACGATGTGAAGTTGTCGGATTCGGTTAACCTCGGCCGTCCCCGTCTCCATGGAACTCGACGTCACAAGCCCGACCCGGGCCACGGGGGTACTGCTGTACATACAGGAGCTACGGGCGGCTCTAGCCTTTCCTTAGGCGGGGAGAATGGGGTAGGTTTTAGCGCGTATGGAGTACGCTAGAGGCATGTCGTTCAGGGGGGCAATTGCGGGCATGATTCGCCAACTCGAGATCCTCGGCTGTCGTTGATTGTCCACAGGGGTAACTCCGCAGCTCTCCACGGGGTCGAAATCGGGGTACACAGGTACTGTTGTAGAGGTAGATAGGTGCATTAGGTACTTACCCACCCAGGTACCCGGACCTTGAACAGTCCAACAAAACGCTTAGGGAGATAAGCAGGCCAAGACCGAGATACCACCAATTTCCATTAAAAGTACCTACGACACGCTCGGCGCGTCTCCCACCACCACAAACGCGTGTGCCGTCCCGACGAAGTGCGCCCGACCAATGCCACCATCCATGCGATAACAAAACGACCGTCAAGACAAGCTGAGAGTTGGGGAGAGTCTGTCTAGTACTCGTATGACACCGTTTCGGTCTTGGACGCCGTGATCTCTGCGCAAAATGGAGGCCGCAGATATCATCGACGATGTCGTCCATCCGGAAGTGCGGGCGCACATCACCAACCTGGTTTCTGCGGTATGTCCACTTCCGGACTCGTTATGTACACGGATGTACTGACTCTGGCGACCCAAATAGCTCGGTGGTTACAGCGTGGACGATGATGGAAGCTACAAGCTCGGTGACGAAGCGCTCGACGTCTTGCGCGACCTGAAGAAATGGATCCGATTCTACGATGAAAAGACCAATCGTATGGACGTTGCCAGATGCCTGGCTGAAGCGAACCTTGTCGGCGGCGATCTGCTCCAGATCCTGACATTATGGCCTCAAAGCGAAACCGACAGCAAGTACAAGGCCCGTATTGCTCTGGCGTGTTTCGAGGTCATGGTGCCCCTTACTTGGCCGATAGAGAAGGAGCGCGCGGAAATGACCATCAACCATCATCGTCACATGCCCGTTCTGCAGCTTGCCCAGCTTGGCTACAAGCGCGCCATCATAAACTTCGATGCGATACCCATCCTCAACACCGCCGTCAGGGTCGCCCTTCCCTCCATGGCCATGCCTATTGGCGAGCGGACACCCCGTGACCAGGCCATTATCAAGCTCGTTCTCTTCTTTTTGAGGAACGTTGCCATGATCGCACCCCCGCAAGGTGTCAAATGCGAAGGCGACGAGACACAGGTATCCAGGTCGGCAACCATTGATGCATTTTCGTATCAAGACATATTCCTCACTCTGCTGACCCTTGCCTCCAACATGGGCGAGGACTTCCGCACCGAAGATGTAGTTGTTATGGAAATTATCTTCCATCTTGTCAAGAGAGTTGACCCCAGCTCGCTCTTCGTCAGCGAAAAGCAACTCAACAAAGCCAAGGGGCAAGAGCTGGCATCGGAGATGCGCAAGGAGGCTGCTATGCTAAAGTCCTACAACAAAACCACCACCACTCGGCACAGTCGATTTGGGACCATGATCTGGGTGAAACGAGCAGATGGCAAGATGGTGACGGTATCTGGCCAAGAGGCTCTTTTGGACGCGAAAACGCGGGAGAGGAAGATGGATAACTCAAAAACATTCAGACCGCCAAGAAGAGCGAGGAAACCCGAGATGGAGCCCAAGGACCTTGGTCCTCCAGTGACGCTAGACGAAAGAGCTCGTCAGCAGCTGCGATCATTCGTCCAAGACTTCCTTGACTCGGGTTTCAACCCCTTGTTTCTGCACGTGAGGCAATCGATCGATCGGGAGGCATTGCATGTATTGAACCAGCATAAGAGCCAGTTCTTTTACCTTGTCGCCTGGTTTCTCGAAGCCGAGCGGATGCGGAGAAAGGCCAAGAGGGACGAGTCGAAGTCGACGTCCGCAGCCGGGGAGGAGGTGAACAGTTTTAACCTCGTTGCTGCTGTGCTCCAACAGGAAATGTTCGCTTCCATGAACCGTGCGCTTGACCGGTCCTATAGTGATAAGGACTGGCAACTGCTCACGTCCGTCATGCGCTGTTGCACCCAGATCTTCCTCACGGTCCAGGAGATGTCAGAGTCTCCCAACGAGGAAGACCAGGAGATTGCCGAAAACACCCTCAGTCGTCTCTTCTACGAGGAGACAACCCACGACCTCATCGCGAATATTGCTCGAACATACAAGGATCAAGGCTTCGAATATCTTGATGCCGCGACCGAGCTTGTCCACACTTTCCTCCGCATTTTGGAAGGTTACTCTAAGCAAAATGTCGACCTGCAGGTGCGCTCACGGAAGCGAGCTCGCCGAAAGAAGAAGGCTGCCAAAGCTGCCGCTGCTGTTGCTGCAGCTAGAGCCGCCGGTGAGGAAGCAGAAGACGTTGGCGTTCCCGAGGACAACGATGCCGATGATTCTGGGGACGATGAGCAACATGCAGAGCGGGTTACTCAGGAGCGCAAGTTCGAGTTTGGGAAATTCGCCATTCGATTCGCTCCCCAGGGTGTTGTCGACACATTTGTCGCCTTCACCAAATTCTACCGGGATTTGAACGACGCACAGCTGAAGCGCGCTCATCGCTACTTCTACCGCGTTGCCTTCAAGCTAGAGCTGAGCATCATGCTATTCCGACTAGACATCATCAATCTCTTTTACAACATGGTCCAAGGTCCCGAGCCCCTCGACAAAAGCTCGCCGATGTTCAAGGAATGGGAGGAGCTCTCCAAGCAGATCATTCGGAAATGTATCAAAAAGCTTCAAGAGCGGCCTGCGTTGTTTACCGAGTTGCTCTTTTCCAAGATCGGCAGCACGACGCACTTCCTTGAGCATGGCTACGAGAAGCCTGTCACCACAACTATGCCACGACCTGGTGCCGAGCTGGAGTTCAAGCGAGCCACAGAGCGCGACGAGCAGATTGGCATTGCGGTCAGCGTACTCATCGACAAACAGCAAGTCGAACATCTGCAGTGGCTCAAGGATCAGCTGACAAGTGCAATGAGCGAGCGGCAAGCATGGGAGAACGTAGACAAGGCCATGGCAGCCACTACCGAGGGGGCGGCTGATGGTGAAGCTGCCGACGAGAGGTCCAACAAATCAGCACCACCACATATCACGATCCGCCCTGATACCGAGGCTCGCCGCACAGCCATGTTTAAGAACCCGCACCTCCGTCTTCTCATGCGTCTAGTCGGTATGGAGCGCCTCACGCCTACTCTCGACGAGACTCCCGACTCGACCTGGATTCTCCCAGGCAGCCACACCGCCGAGGCGATCCAGGATACCATCGACCTCATCAACAAGGCCGAGTTTTCCCCTCCCACCTTTGAGGACGGCGGCTCAGCCGAAGACCAGCTCCGGCGCAAGTCCGCCGCCGCTTCTCGCAGGACGCGTGCCGCATATGACGATGATGAGGAAGAAATTCGCGGATTCCTCGGTGACGATGACGAGGAAGACTTCCTCTTTGCGCCCGGCGGTCCTACCGCTCGCAAGCCGGACGCTAGGCCGCAGAAGAAGCGTCAGCGCAAGCGCCGAAGAGAGGCTGGTAGTGGAGACGAGGAAGATGAGGGGGTGTCGGATGAAGTGTTGGCTGCGCGTGTGAAGAAGAGGAGGGAGAAGGAGCTGGAGAAGATTAGGAGAATCAAGAGTGAGATGTACGTGCACGCAAGCGACGATGAAACGGACGATGAGAGGGATCGGGAGTTCTTTGAGCGGGAGAGAAAGAGGCAGGAGACGAAGGATTCAAAGTTTGATAGTTTGCTTGGGGCATTGGGGTTGTCAGTGTTGTCGCAGGTGAATGGAGGGGAAAAGAGCGCGTGGGAGGCGGTGCTGGATGATGAGCCCGAGAGTGATGAGAGTGAGAATGAAGGGCGGAAGAATGCGAAGCGGAGGAAGAAGCAGGTCGCTTCTGGTTCCGAAGAAGAGCAAGAGGAGGAGGAGGAAGAGGAGGAAGAGGAGGACAGCGATGAAGAATTGCCAACGAAACAGGCCAAGAGTAAAACCTCGAAAAGGAAGGCGGCGGCACTGTCAAAACGACCGGCAAGGAGACCTGGGACAACCAAGAAGAGGGCTGTGGTGGAGCTCAGCGACGATGATGAAGATGATGATGAGGAAGAGGATGCCATGGACGTGGATTCGGCAAACGAACGCACGACCAGAAATGAGGCACCCTTACCCTCTAGCCCAGGTGAGGGGCTAGGGCGGAGAATAAACAAGATGGCGATGGATGATGGAGACGAGGATGAGGATGATCAGCCGGTGGTCGCTGCTCGCCAAAGGCCAAAAGCCAGGGGTGGATTCATCATTGACAGCAGCGATGAGGAGTAGATCAGGATGTGATTGTGTCCGTGTATCGTTTCTTCTCCCAATGTACTATTGTCTGGTTGATAGGGGTATTTAGGAGCATAGCGTGTTTTGGGACTTAGGGGTCTGGTTTGGCTAAAAAGGCCAGATGTATAAAAGACCGTACGAGATACCATGGGATTAAAAGCAACAGTCGTCAATCATTTAGGTACATAAAACAGCAATATGTTTGACGATTCGATCATTATGCGCGTGTTGTACACAAATCTTGTTGTGTGACACTGTACTTGTACTTGGCCAAATGTTTTGTTTATTTTACCCCTGAATTGCACGATGCCGCTCTCCAATCTGCTTGGCGTCAGTGTAGGTCCATATCCAACCCTAACCCGTATTATGCTTCTTTGTTGGACCGCGTCATTGACAAGACTTGGGTAAACAACCGGCTTCAACGCGGCTTTCATCATTGACGAGTTTGATGACCATCAGCTTGATGAGTATCCCCAAGCTTACCTCCACACCGTGATGCCCTTCAACAAACGGTGACTGACAGAGTAGCTAATGTCCGAGACAAAGTCGCACTCCGTGAAAC